CTGACGTAAGTGTTTTCCTTCAGGATATCTCCAAATTCTTTATAAATATTATATGGTTTGGCTGAAAATACAGGTTTTGATTCCAATATGATACTTGCTGAATGCAAACGTGCCAGAGCTTTTGCTGCTTCTAAGCAATGCTCTAAATCCAAAATTGTTTTCTTTTTGTGTTCACAGTTGAAAAATCCAAGTTGCGATAAGTTTTCAAATACTAGAAGATCTTTGCGACTATAGAGACATTTTGGAGACCACTGTTTACTTGAACATTTTTGCAACAGAGGAATCAGCCCGTTAAAAAGTTGGGTTTCCTTTTTAAAAGCACCTATATCTTCTATATATTGAGCATGCACGGCCAATTCTTCAGATGATATTTTCAAGAAAAATGTATATACTTCATCTAAGCCATTCACGTTAACATTAACCGATAGTATAGCATGATCAGATATAAAGCCAGATGTATTTTCACCTAAAGCTTTCACAAAGAAATCCGAGATGGTAAAATATTTAGCATCCAAATATCGTTCCACTATCAATTGAACATCGGCATTATTGACGACACCAAACTTAGACTGAATTTCGGCCATTTTTACTGCAATTCTATTATAAAATAAGATTGAGACTGTTCCAAGAGATGAACGACAGACGTCTTAAATGCAATGAACTGCTTAATTAATTAACATATTTAGTAAATAATCATGATGTATGTAAAATCTCGTTAATTAATTTAATTTATGGTGATATTGTTCTGTCTGCAGCGCATATGCGAATAATAATTGTCTCTAGGCACAAATAACAAGTTGAAATGCATATAAAGTAAGTCATTTGTGTTACAAAGTTTGTTAAAACTTTAATAGAAACTTTAAAATTAAAAGAATAACATAAAATTACGTAAGTATAAATTTGTCACTTTATTTACTTTTAAGTAAATACCACATGTTTAGATAGGTTGATAGAATAGTATGATAACCAAGTATTATGATATTTGAAATATTGTATATTTGCATCAATATTTACAGACCTTCATATATATTAGCAAAGTCATTGCGTCTTGATATTGCCATTGAATAATATGTTATATTACGTCAAAACGAAATATTTAAACAATACTGCAACTATTTAGATTTTACTTGTATAATAAACACATTCCATCCGTGGTACGAATGTGGATTAACAACCACTTGTTCCGGTTTTGATAGTCACCAAGACTAGATTGATATCAAGCAGTAGTGAAATAAGATCTTCATTTGCAATTACAGATAAAACTAGTGGAGTGTATGGCATGGTGCCTTAAGGCAAATTGCTGGAACTTCCCGTACCGTAACGAAATGTTCGAGGAATACAGAATGTTTTCAAATAGATTATTATAAATATTGTAACATTGTCTAATATTTATAAGAATTATATAAACTGAATTGCAAAGTTAAAATTATTTGTTTAAAGTATATTAGAACTGTAGTCAGAATTATAAATTAAATCTGAATTATTTTCGATATACAAGAAAAACTTAAAAAAAATGATACAATTTTTTTTTCCAAAATCAATTATTTTGTTAAAACAAGCTGAATCATTGAAATTGAAACAGATTCTTTGAATCATTTAAATTGGACGCTTGGTTTTCTCAAAAACTGCCATTTTTTGCACATTCAGCTCTGTATCTTCGAAATGGCTGGGCCTGCCATTGCCAAAAACTAATAATCACTTTTCCCAATCATTACTAATTGAATGTTTTTTAGATCATTCAAATCGGATGCTCAGTTCACTCAAAAACTCGATTTCTATTTTCTGCACTCTTTGCTCTGTATCCCCGAAACGGCTGGACCTGCCTTTGGCAAAAACTAATCAGCTCTTCTCCCTATCAATAGGAATCGAATGTTTTTTGAACCATTCAAATCGGTTGATCCGTGCGCCCGAAAACGTGACTGGAATTTTGTATCCATACATACATACACACACACACATCTATTTTTCTGAGGTATGCCAAAAACCTTCAAAACGTCAAGAAATGTAAAAATTTTCAATTTCGATTTTCGGCCCATTACAATAACTTATCCTACGGGAAGTTAAAAATAAGATATCGGGTGCAATGCAAAATGTTCACATCACTATTAGAAATATTCTAATAATTATAATCTGATCAGAAAGGGAATGGTAAACCTTTGAGTTGCATTCTACAATCAATACAATCAATAGGTATAACAATAGGTTGATGTTCAGATTACACAAAAATTAATATAATATAGGTTCTTCTTTATATTATAAATAATAAATAATAATAAATCGTATTTCAATATCTGAAAAATTATAAGTCAAATTTCTATGTATATGAAACCTACTTCAAAAATTTATCGAACCATTTTTCAATTACTATATTTTTTAACATATTATTTTACAAATATTATATTTGTTTATTTGATAAATGCGGATTATTATATTCAATTTATCAATCAATTTCAGCATTTGGAAAAAATAACAAGCTTTTAAATAACTAGTGGTGTATGGCATCGTACCTTGAGGCAAATTGCAAGAACTTCCCGTACCGTAACGTTGTGTTCGAGGAATATTTAATGTTTTCAATAAAATTAGATTATTATAAATACTGTAGCGTTGTCTAATATTTATAGGAATTATATGAACTGAATTGCAAAGTTAAAATTATTTATTTAAAGTATATAAGTGAGCTTTAGAACTTTATCCAGAATTAAATTTAAAATCCGAATTATTTTCGATATTGAAAACATTTTTGCAACTTAAAAAAAATAATTTTCCCAAAAATAATCGTTTCATCAATACAAGCAAAAAGTTTTTTAAATCATTCAAGTTAAACGCTTCGTTCTCTTAAAAACTGCCAATTTGTGCACATTGAGCTCAATATCTCCGAAACGGCTAGACCTGACATTGCCAAAAACTAAATTTGATTCATTCAAATAGGATGCTACGTACTCTCAAATAACTCGATTTCTATTTTCTGCACTTGGTGCTTTGTATGTCCAAAACGGCCAGACCAACCTTAGGCAAAAACAAACCAGCATGCCTCCTTATCAATAAGAATCAAATGGTTTTTGGATCATTCAAATCAGTTAAACGGAACTCCCAAAAACGTCGACGAAAAATTGTATCCATGCATACATACATACTACATACACATCTATTTTTTAAGGTATGCCAAAATGTTCAGAAACGTGAAGATATGCAAAATTTAAATTAACGATTTTTGGCCCATTATAACTTACCCCTCAGTAAGTTAATAACGTAATAAACTGTTACAAATTATATACTATACTATATGAGTAAACCGATTTCGCAAAATTGATTAAATATTTGTTTATGTTTTATTTATTTCATGTACCTATATATATATATATATATATATATATATATATTTATATATATATATATATATATATATATATAAGAAAAATTGGTATAACAATAACTTGTGAATCGACCTCGTTTGCAAAAATTTAAATAAAATCTTGATTATATTACACAGAAAAGCACTCTTCGAAATTAGTCTGGTCAGGAGATGCGATATTCAGGTGATTTAATTATTTACTTATTAAATTATTAATTTGTATTTATATTTCGGGGTAACTCGAGCACATAAATGTGTCAATTAGGGCACAATATTCAAGCAATTCTCAAGCTCTTTATAAGTTAACTTCTAACAAAAAACCTTTTAACAGAATAAAAATTTTTTCATTCTATGTTTTGTGAAACTCTATATATGCAAATGAAATAAATCAATAGAAGTAGAAGCACCCTTAACTTCGGTGAAATATGATTAATGACTATATTGAAATATGGTGAGTTTTATAAATTTAATTTTTGTTTATAAAAATTATACATAACAAATACTAATGTTTGTATGATTTTTCCCGGTCCGGCTTGGCCAGGACGATCCCGGATTTCGCACCATGTGTCCCGGGTTTATTTTTTAAATTAACATTTGTCCCGGATTTAGATTTTTTGTCTTGGATTGTGTTGGGCTTTCGATAAGTGTTTGATAATAAAATTACAACTACCCATCAAATATCTGATAATGATATATTATGGCACAAGACAACGAGTATGTTTATATGAATCAATACGTTATGAATAAGAAACTTGCCAAGTCCAAAATTCCAAAATAGGCTTAAAACAGCTTCTTACCTTAATAAATTCGAACTTTGATTTTCAATTCAAACTCATTCTTTTGAAAAATTTTTTTTTAAAAAATATATGGTTATCTGAAATATAATAATTCTTACATTTTTTATCTATGGTTTTGTTCAGTGTTTGGGCCATGTATAAAATTCTGCACATATATTATCATAATAAATAGACTTATGCACTAGTCAAATTTCAATTAATACATTTTATGTCAAGTTTGACAAATATCTGAATCACTTGTCCTAGACAGTAATAAATCTCGTTTTCATAACTTTTGCTTTCAATTTAATTATTGTATCAACGTTTCAGAAAGTTCACGATTATCAAGAGACCATTTCAAACCAATTATAAATTGATAAAGTTCGGTTATTTTTCTATTCAAATATTTTTCTCTTCTATAAAATATGGTTGTAGGAGAGAAAAAGTATTCTAGACGTATTTGCCATTTCTGAATATTTGATTGCTTGTTGCATTTTATGAACAAGTGATAACAAAGATCCATTTCAACCTATACTTTTCAGAAATTTGGGACATTCAGAGTCAAAAAATTCTGATTCCGAGGCCAATATTTGTTTTAAAAAAATCCGGGTTGCAAAGTGAAAATCCGGGACAGCCCCGCCTAATCACGGTACGGTACTCTTCTTAGTCTTGTTAAATTTGATGTGATTAACACTTCCTATATTGCAAATTATTTTCAAAATAATTAGTTAGAAAAAAAGCGGCTGTGATAATTCATTAATATTGTTTTGAATTGCTTTGAGACTATTACTTTGAAACTCTATATATTGATCCAAACAAAACTTATATGCTAAAAACTAAAAATTCATTTACCACTAAAATATTACTTATATTCAGACTTTCAGAGCCAGTACACGAATTCGAAATGCAAGTAAACTGAATCCGTTATCATAACGATTTTTATAACCACGAATGACGTGCACCATAATACCATAAATCACAAGAGAAATTTCTTTGGCCTCTAAAATGATCACATATAAATAAACCTTATGCCTCTTGGAGATTGCTCGTCATAAATTTATTGTTTATGATAATTTACATTACATAATGTGTTGAATTTAGCAAAAATTCATATTATGACAGCTGCTTAGTGACGATTTCGTGAAAAATCTTATCAGAATCGACGCCAGCGCACACCCGCCCACATTTTTCCAGTGAGGTGTTTGAACAATGATAAACGATCGTATAGGTAAACATAATTATTAATTCAGATACAAACAAACGCTGAGCAAATATGCTGTCGACAAAGTCACCTCGCTATTTCGTATCATTTTTAAGACGAATAATTCAAGAGTATATAAAAGCAGGTGTAAACAGTTGCTACATGTTGACTCGATGAGAAAGTGACAACAGTAACAAACCACTGTTTCTTCCGGGGTCTAAACAATCTTTTAAGATTGTTTTACCAAATTTAAAAAAAATAGTTTTTTCGATCGCTTTTAGTTTTAATGTAATTAATTGATTTTAATGAACTGTATTTATTGTTAAGTTAAGAGTTTTTCTAAGGTGAGTGAATCATAAAAATTCCTAATTAATTGCTGATGATAATAAACAATAAAAGTGAAGTGAATGAGTAATGAGTGAATAGTGTCAAATATAAAAAAAAAATCTATCTAATATAAAAAATTTCAAAATATATTGTACCTATAATTAATTGAGATAACTTAATTGAGCATGAAAACGTTCTAAAAGTATAAATTAATTTAGAATTCATTCCTAAAACTTCGAGTTTTAATTTAATGTATTCTAAATTTTTATTAATAATTTAATAAAATTAAAATAATATTACACTCAAAAACTTCTTATTTCTTTGTACGTGTT